TGATGTGTTTAGTGATGAAATCTGTTATACGGCATTGGTATTCGAAACGAGCCAGTTTTTGTTTCAGGTTTTCCTTCTTTATATATATAATTTAAATTAATAAGAATTATTTTCATTTTCTGAAGAGAAAATGAATTTTAAATTAGAAAGCAGCCAAATATCGTTGGGATGCCTAAAATTCAGGAATAAAAATACAATTTATTTTCAACTATTCGGACTGCTATGTAAAGAATAAAATTTTCTGGAATTTTTTTGAGAAAATAGTATTTGAAGAATATTTTTTTTTTCTTAAGACAAACGAAATTATGATATTTCTTTGCACAATCATTTAGATTTCTACAACCAGTATTTTTAGCCCAATGGGAAGTTTTCCCAGAATGGCTATTTATTTCGTTTTGCAATTTTGTGTCGTCAACTATAAAATGGCACTTCACTTGTCAAATTCTTTCCGCTAAATATTAGAGCCTTGTATTATATTTTAAAAAACTAAATGAGGAACAATCTGCATGAATGTATAAGAATTGTAAGAACTGGAGGCTCCCTTCAGCCCACCTTGACACAAGTGTCCCCATAGCTCAAAAGAAGGGGCCCCGTTCTCCACAAACGAGGGCAGCCAGTAACCTAGCCACTCCCAAACAACAAACAACAAATGCATGAATGTGTGTATTTTTATGAAATTGTTAAAAAACAACGGTACCTAGAGACATCAAATTTTGAGTAACGTAGTCCTCCACTCGAATATGGGCATCCGGAAGCCCAAATTTGGAATTTATTTTATTATCTATTTCCTATTTTTGTAAAGCTTTAACGAAATTTTAATTAAAAAACTCAATGATTTCAAAGCAAGCAATGGCAACACTGTACGGAGAAAAAAAATATTTTTATTTCCAGCGCGCGAGACTGCGTATCGGAAATTCTAAAGATATGCTCTTTATAAATATCTTATGATATTGATGTTGAATTGAATTTTATGGTTTAAATGCGAAGAACATAATGTTTAATAAATACAGGTGCACACAAATAGTTAAGAAAACGTCTCTTTGGGGGTAATATAAAATCTGAAAGACTTCGGAGTGGTTTTTTTTTTTTTTTTTTTTTTTTTTTTTTTTTCTATTATAAAAAGTTTACCGAGTTCAGTTGATTTTCTCTGTTCCTTAATGTGTTATGTGTAAAGAAACTAGGTTTTTTTTATTATTTTCATATCACTTAAGCGTGTAAGTAACTACTATTATAAGCGCACATTTCGGAATTAGCCATTTTGTACCAATAATAAAACCGTAAAATTACGTTTACTGCCATAACTGTTACCTCTTCAGCTAGTAAGCTCATCTATTTCTAAATTTATTGCAGAGATCGAAATTAATTGTAAATATTGCAGATCTTCCAGATCCCACAGAATTTATATTATGAAACTTGGTGTTGTAATAAATTAAACTTTAAACATGGAAATTGAATTTACGTAAAAACTATACCTTACTTCTTTGGTTATAATTAAATCACATTGCTAACGAAAAGCTTTTAATAGATGCAGCCATTTTAAATAATTAATAATATTTCTCCCGTTATTTATATAGGCTTTTATTTATATAGATATTTCTCCCGTTATTTATATAGGCTTTTATTTATATAGATATTTCTCCCGTTTTATATAGGCTTTTATTTATATAGATATTTCTCCCGTTATTTATATAGGCTTTTATTTATATAGATATTTCTCCCGTTATTTATATAGGCTTATCTACGGTGGTTAGAAACCCCTACAGATAAAGAAGAATGCATTTTGCTTTCAGATTTGGTACTCTAAAAAATTATCCACTGAAATTAACAACATTATTATTTTTCAAAATAAAATTTAAAGATTTCTGCAAGCTGAAGTCCTAAGACCCTACTTCACGTAAGCCTTTTACCTTCTTTCCTAACATTAAATTTTCATGGAATGAAAATATGCTCTAAGATGATGTTTATTAGAAATAAAAATAAACGTTTTTGTAATCATGAAAGAATAAGTTGTTAAAAAATGTAAATAACTAGATTAATTTTGGGGTGAAGAAGGAAGTTTTGCTTACTTGATGAAGAAAGTTAAGGATATTGAAGAATGTTAACATACTAGCTCTAGAAAGTTTTTCGATATAACTTAGAGCACAAACGATATAGTGCACAAAATTTTAACTAGGCTATTTTTCCCTGTCATTAGTATTTGTTTTTAATGAAACGAAAATGAAACGGTAAATGAAACGAATAACGTCAAGAAGGTAAAATAATTACATAAATTTACCTGGTTAAATTACTCAAAGAATTCTTTTGTCTAGAAATAAAATAGCTTCTCTTTGTAAAGAAAAAAAAACCCTTATGCATAATTTACACATATAAATAAGATTCGTTCCATTTTGTATCTCGTCAGAAAACATTAAACTAAATTTTAAGTAAATGAAAACCTTAACGACAAATTTTAATTAGATCTATTTCTTTGCAACATGTCTTTAAAAGGATATTACAAAAAATTTTATCTAATTTTCTTAATGCATATTTTAGTAAGTTGGAAATTTCATATTCCAGATTTCAAAAATCCTAGTACAGCGTCAACCCAGTTTGTTCTTTTAGATTCGTTATATTTGCAAATCATTATTATCATTCGATCATTACAATCATCAGTTTACAATCAAGCATTATAACTTCAATCATTATAACATTTCAATCACAGTAACATCAGTTCAATTATTATAATCAAATTCGGTAGAATTTAAAACGAAATTCAAGATGAAGCGGGGACTTTTCAGCAAAGAAATCCATCATGGCCTTTTCCATTTCAAATGTTATGACAGTTCTTTTTTACGGGAATCTTTCTTCTCACTTTTACTTCCCTCTGGAAAATTCTTAAATTTATTTTACTTTAGCTATGTATATTTATTCTTTGTGGATAGGTTAACAACTTTTGGCTTTCTACATATTATAAAAATTTTAAATCGTTTCCATAATAAAAAAAAATAATTTTTAGTAATAATACATTGAAGTATTTCAGAAAACATAAATATGAGCAATGATAAAGCCAATAATTAATTTATTATTTAATATAAGTTAAACTGTATTTTGTTATTTACGCATCATTTATCTATCATAATCGAAGTTTCCAGTAAGAAAAATCAATCTCTGTCCACATAATTATCATTTCTGAACATAGGTACGCAAATGTTTTGGTAATTACATAATTAATTTTAATCTAATAAAGACAAATTATATTTTTTCAAGAATTACAAGTAGTGTGAGTACCTGTGCATATTCATATTATAAATTCATGCTTTTGCACTAACTGTCAAAAAAAAAGAATTCCTTACAAATTTAATGCCGAAAATTTTGATAATAATTGTTTGAATTTCTTGCAATTTAGCAAATATTTTGAATATGCCGTGTCATCATTGTCGTTTCTTCACAGCCATTAAACTAATAGTTTCCACATACAGTTTCGTTTCACCTGGGAAGAATGCGGTATTTAAAATAAATTTTTACCTGTATAATTGAAATAACAAGTAACAAAAACTTTAATGTAAATTGTTTTCAAACTTTATGCTTAAAAACATACCATTGTATATAATTTCAAATTTCAGTTTAATGTTTTAATAAAAAAATAAAATTATCATAATCCGTCAACAATTATAATAACTATTACAATAAATTTAATGAACATATTTTTGTCACCTTAATTCTAGCGTTAAGCTATTTTAACGTAAGTATATTTCAGTTTTGTTTTTGGCGCATTTCAATTTGTACTGGCGCTTTTTTTTAATACACGGTTTTCTTATATATTCAGGAAAAAATACTACACATTTTTTAAAAATCAGGAAAGATTGGTTTTGCTCTGTTCAAGTATAAAATTTACATTTCCGTTTTAATGTCACAAATGTTTTGTGTGATCTCTTTAATCTTCATATCATATTGCATTTTAAAATCATTTTCTAATTAAAGGATTTTTTCAGATAAAAAAAATTTACGCATTTTTAGAAAACAATAAAGTTATTTCGACGTTAAAAGTATTCGTCGGACTGAATTCATGCTAAGAGATATAAACTTTAAATTGCTTATTTATTTTAAAATATATTTATGAGGCCTTTATAATATATTGATTAATTTAACATGCAGCTGTTTGTAAGAAAATCCTTTTAAAAAGATGATATTTAATTCGCAAGTTTAAAATCGATAGCATTTCTTATTTCAATAATATTTTTATATCAGATGTTAATATATTACGAGCAAAAATCAATAAATCTGTGTTGTGATTTTGCTTACGAAGTCCTCAAAAAATAAATTGCAGTTAATTACACTTACACAGATATTATACATTTGGAAGAACAATAGAGCATTTTGTGTTAGATTTCTGCTTCCCTCTGGAAATTTCTTAAATTTATTTTACTTTATCTATGTATATTTTATTCTTTGCGGATAGGTTTATTGTATTTGCTTGTTTAAAAAAACCTTTGGCTTTCTACATATTATAGAAAATTTTATAATGGAAGGTGTTATGGTAAAACTATTGCTAAAGATATTAATATTTATAATGAAAGGTAACTAAAGAATCTTGTCTGATTTCTGAATGTCATTCAACATAACACAAATGTGTGAGCTAAAAGAACTTTCACAGAGAGTTCCTAAGCTTTAAAAAGGATATCCTGTTTTTTATGCGGTTAACAAAATTAGGTTTAGCAATTTAAAATGAAAAATATCCCCAGAGATACGCTTTGCTGCAGCAAACAAACTTGCAAAGCACACCTTAATTTCAATTTTCATAACGTTTCAATTTCTTCTCGAGTAATCAATATCGCGAAATAAATTACACATCCATCTGGAGTTTGTTTCAAATATTATCCCATTCGAGGTATTCTTGCTATTTAACTGGATTTGATTAATCCAAGTATATATTTGCATTGCACTAAGTCCAGTGGTCACTCTACGTTACAAAATTAAGCCCGATTGCACATGTAAGAAAACGGAGTACAACTTCTTCTTACCTTGGAGTAGTTACGAGAACTCGATGAGACAATCTTGAGAGTTTCTTCTACTACACAACAATACACACACCCCTCTCGAACACCAATATATACGAGCCTTAACCACCAATGGCAAGTTGTGACCTACATCCAGATACGTCACTCAATGTAGGCCAATAGTACCCATTCCACAACCGTAGCACGAGGCCAGAGGTTTCTTCTTCTCCCGCCAAACTTCTTTCTCCGTCAATTTGTTTTGTTATCTTTTTGTTTTCGGTTTCGTTTTTAGTTTGGCTAAGGTGTTTTCCATTTTTCGAGAGTGTTTTTCACCCGTCCTTTGATGAATATCTGGAATTGCTCGCAGCGTTGTTTTTAAACCTCACTCTCGATAAAGAAATCGTTGAACTTTTTGTCCCTATTGATACCTACGGTAGTAACACGGCCTTGAAAGAATAGCCTTTATCCCAGAATATTTTCTCTAAAGGCGTTTATTTAATGATTCGCTTTTAAAATGAGATAGTGGTTAAAAAATATGTGTTAAAAAAAAGTATGTTCTTCAGCCATTAATAGCATAATGTAAACAAAATCATTGTATCATTGCATGTCATTATACAAAAAAATATCCTCTGTAGAGAAAAATATGTTTCTTTCAAAACCTAATTTAAAAATTAATTAAATTATTGAGTTTGACGTTGAAACATTCTTCTGTTTAAAATAAAAGCAGATGCTAAAAATATTAAAAACTCATCAATTTTCTGATTGTTGTAAATTAATATAAAAGTTATAAATACAAAATAAAGTTAAAATTTTTCAGAATTTTAAATTTAATTTATAAAATACTATTAAACAGTTCATACTTTTCTAGACGAATATGAGTATTTAATGTGTTATTATTCTAAACAATATTACAGTCAAGTAGTACTGAGTTACATAATGTTTATGCCAGTAAGAAAATTTCATTTTGCAAGGCTTACTGTCTAGAATTAAGTTTAGTACACTGGTTTTTTAGTTTGCCCCACAGGGACAATTCGCCCTGAAGGGCTATTATTTTCGTTTTGGCGTTTTGTGTCGGTTCACTATAAAAGTCCGATTTACTTTTCAGATTGTTACCACCAAATATTATCGCCCTGTATTATATTTGAAGAAATTAAATAATGAAAAATCTGCATAAATGTATGTATGCTTCTCGCATTGTGATAAAACAGCGGTACCTAGAGACATCCAATTTGAAATAACGTAGTCCTCCACCCGAACATGGGTATCTGGAAGCCCAAATTTGCAATTTGGAATTTATTTTACTATCTATTTCATATTTTGTAAGCCTTTAACGAACTTTTGATTAACAAACTCAACGATTTAAAAGCAAGCAATGACAAAACACTGTACGAAAGACACTTTTATCTCCAGCGCGCGAGACTGTGTATCAGGAAGTCTAAAGATAGGCTCATTTTAAAATTAGTTTGCGATATTGCTGTTGAACTGAATTGTATGATTTAAAAGTGCGAAGATCCTTTGGACATAATTTAAAATCTGAAAATTTTCAGATTTTTTTTAACTGAAATATTTTAAATATTTTTTTTAATTTGGTTTTTTTCTTTTACATTTTAATCCAATTAATACTTGTTTTAAGGGGACTCGTACACCTTAAAACCCATAAGATGTTCGAATAGACGACTGTTGCAAGAATTGGGATAACTTATTTATTTTAAAAGCAATTACTACCAACTTTCTACAGCTGACTACATAATATAGCTGCTTTCTGAAATAGTAATCAGAAAGTTTGTGTTGCCACAAATATTTTTATAATTTAATCCGCTTTGTGACAACATTTTCGTAATGTTTCCAACTTGCGAGCACAGTTTAAAACATTCCGTTTCATAATTTAATTCCATATTTAATATATAGCTTTTATAACATTTGGAAACTACTGTGAACCTAAAATTCTAAAAATTTCATGTTAAATTTTTATTTTATTTGGAGTTGAGTTTATAAAATGTATTTTATTAACAAAATTTGTAATGTTTTCGTCCATAAAATTTTTCAATATTAAAATATTCGTCAGATTGTTGGTTCAGTTAGAAAATAATGCGCATATAAAGAATTTCATCGAACTTCAAGTATGTACCATTAGCCATTTTTAAAATATAATGCGCGCAAGGTGGAAACACGGCGAAATATATTGTCACAAAGAGGATTAAATTACAAAAATATTTGTGGCAACACAAATTTTCTGGTTACTAGTTTCCAAAGCAGCTATATTATGTAGTAAGCTATAAAAAGTTGGATGTAATTGCTTTTAAAATAAATAAAATATCCCAATTCTTGCAACAGTCACATATTCGAAGATCATGAGGGGTTTAAGGTGTATGAGTCCCCTTAAACTGAATCTAAAGTGGTTAGCTTTAGACTAACAACAGACCAATTAAACAAATAAATACATGAGCTACATTTTCTACTTTCAGAAATATCGTATACAGCTATGAAAATAACTGGCCTTTAAATAAATATATTATCGATTATATAGTATATAATTTAAAATTCTATATATCTTGAGACACGTTTATAAAATGTCTGAATCAGGTTATTCGTTTCATATGTAAGCTTCTTAAGATTGGACTACTAAAATAATATTCTGTGGAATTAGTTTTTAACATGGGTATTAGGAGATAGCATTTTATACTTATTTATTTCCTAACATAAAAATAAAGTATAGAACAATGAAAAACATTCATGAATACAAAAGTGTAAGTGATGCCATTCACAAAAGGGTAATGTTATTTTTAATAGTTCGCTGGCTTTGTCGCAACATCCTCCCCACCTGGTCAACCTCCAGGGGGATGACCAGCTGCACAGGTCGGGTAATGGTATGTCCACTGGTGCGCAGTACACAAATACGGACTTTCTTGTCGCGGCCAAGGATTAGCTCCTCAACACGGGCCTATCTCCAGGTGTGGCGAGGTCTAACATCTTCTTGTAGTAGGACAATATCCCCCTTCCGGATTTTATTTGTTTCAGATGGATTCCGTACTTGATGAAATGTACGCTAGTCCATCAGATATTCCTTTTTACCATCTTTTCCAAAAGGAGTCCATCAAATGTTGACGATTCTTCCACATACGATTTAAATTTGTTTCAGGATTTGTGGGGTTGGAAGGATTAGTAGTTAATTTCTTTCCTATGAGGAAGTGCGAGGGTGTTAAAGCTTCCTCAGAGTCATCTTATATTCTGTATTCCTAGACAATCTGTCTACTGTTAAGAGCGGCTTCAATATCACATATTACAGTGATCAAACTAGCGTCATCCAAAAGAGCCTTACCTAATGTTTTTCGAAGGCGTCGCTTAATTGAGCCTATCATTCTTTCCTACCGTGCTCCCCACCAAGCTGCTCGTGGAGCGATGAATTTCCATTTGATGTTGTGGTGGGCATAAAACTGTTGTGCCTTGGCAAAGGATATAGTATCCCAGAATAATTTCAGCTCTTTGTCGGCAGCGCAGAAAGTTGTGGCATTATCAGTGTACACTGTATGAGGAAGTGAACGTCTAGAGACAAAACGTTGTAATGCAAGTAGGAAGACGTCAGTACGCAGATCGGAAACTAATTCTAAGTGGATAAGCTCGAATTGTAGCACATGTAAAGATGACAATGTAAGCTTTTGTAACGAAGTTATTATTTTTTACGTAGAGTGGTCCTGCAAAATCAATTCCGGTAGTTTCGAAACAGATTACTTTTGAATTCGCTCAGTTGGTAATGGAGCTTCTATCTGTTCACTTCTCTTTTGTTTCAGTACTTTACATGGAAGGCAAGTCTTTATCACCTTTTTAATGGCTTGCCTTGCTCTAATATCCAATATTCTGAACGAAGCTGAGAAAGTACAATCCGAACACCGAGATGATGCATTCGTAAATGTGTTTGGCGTATCAGTAGGCTTGTAAAATGATGAGAACCTTCCAATAATATGGGAAGTTTTTCAGCATGAGATAAATCAGAAACTTGTGGTCGACCACCAAGAAGTATAACGTTGTTCTTGAATAAAGGGTTAAATTTTTTTATCCTTGATTTTTTAAGGAGTGATTTTCCTGTCAACAGAGCTTCATATTCTGAAGGAAACGATTCTTTCTGAACGGTCTGTATCCAATAAATACGAGCTTGATTTGTGGCATGTAACTCACCCACTAACTTTTCTTGTTTCCTATAATAGTGAATAAAGCGAAGAATCCAAGATGTTACACCTAACAATCGAGAGTAAGAACTGTAGTTTCCAGCCTTTATGATTGGTTGAGTAGATATGATGTGAAGGGTCTGAACGTTTTCTTTCTTTGCTTATAAGTTATGATTGTAACCTTTAGAAATAGTATCAGTATCAGACCAGTATTCTGGAGATTTGACTAACCATGGACGGCCGTTCCACCAAATTTCCAGGCTTTTTAGTGTTGATGGTGAAACACCTCGAAAACGTTTGTCAGCTCGATTGTCTTTGCCAGGGTAATGTCTCCATTGTGAAGGATTAGTATAGGAAATAATTTCTGTTACTCTGTTGCTAACAAATGTTTTCCATTTGTTGGGGCCACTGCGTATCCACCCTAAGATAACTTGAGAATCACTCCACAATGTTGCATTTGAGGAATAAATGTTTGTTTCAGCACAGAAATATTGCAACAATCGTGCTCCCATCAGGGCCGCCAAGAGCTCCAAACGAGGTAAGGTGACTTTCTTTATAGGAGCTAGTTTGTTGCGACTACACACTAAATTCACATTCGATTGGTCACCTTTAAAGGTACTAATGTACAGAACTGAACATAGGCACGTTCAGATGCGTCACAAAACACATGAATAGCAAAAGGAACATGTGATGACATGCCTATGCATCGAGGAATTTGAAGGGAGCAAATGTCATCAAGTTCCTTTACAGATGCATACCATAAAGTTGATAAATTAGCAGGTAGTAATTCATCTCACTTGATTCCAAGAATCCATGCATCTTGGTATAAAATTTTCCCAAGGATAGTAAACGATGAAACACGCCTAAGGGATTATAAAACCTAGCAATGCAGCGGAGTAAGCATCTCTTTGTAAGTGGTTTGTCTGTAGAAACACAGAGGGAAGTCTTGAATGCATACTTCAAAGTATCAGAATTTGTATTCCAGCCAATACCTAAGACAGTTGTTTCCGTT